AATCAATCAGTCAGTCACGATCAATCAATCAAACATATGACAATATTGCAGGTATTGGAGAAGGGTGTAACTGTAGATTCTATTGGTATTGGTACAGACGCATCAACAAATCTGGAAGTGTTACCAGCGGCAACTGACGGCATGACATTTTATTATTCCGAAGACTCCAATTCAAATGGTTTGAATGAAGCTCTTGCAGCCAGTGCGAGTCGAGAAAAAAGTGAGTATACTGCCTTCTCACGACCCATCATCTTCGCCAGCCAAGGACCATTTATTCGGTCGAAGCCTCAACATTAACCTTGGCAGATTTCACCACGATTTACTATATGTCGCACGCCCTCAAACGATTATAAGACTCATTTCGGCTCATTTGCATCACCCAATCAGAACTCACGAAAGAAACTGCGCATTAGGCAAAAATTGGGTCGGTCGGTCAGATTATTTTTTTCAGAGAAATACAGATCAATCCGAGGTTCAAAGTCGCCACTTATCTCCCCGGGAACCCTGGGGATCAAACAACGGTCCGGGATCGTTAATTTTTAGAGGAAACACATTTTTACTGCTTAAAATGGTTTTTAATACTAGTATTTGGGCCTATTAAGGCCAGACTTTTATTATCCCTTGTTTCGCAAACCCGCCGAATGAACAGGAGCCGAAAATGAAATAAAAATAAAATTTTATTTCAGCGTAATTTCTCGCGCCCACCTACTTGTAAGTGCAAACAATTGCTAAAAAAAATATTGTTATCTTCATTTCACAAACCCAAGTTGCATTTTCGTGGGAGTATCATAATCAAAGTAGCAAAGTCTCGCGCAGATGAGAAACAAGGTCATTACATGAAATAATATTTTATTTTATTTTATTTCTTCTCTCCGATCAATGACCTGACTTACAATTCTTTGAGAATCACACAAGGAATAAAAAAATTCTGGCCTAATAAAACGCGACCCGATATTCCATATTTTTCGGTCAGTCGCTGAGAGCAATAAAACGAATATTTTTTGGCCTTACTTTGTAAAATTAAAATAGCGGAATCAAATAAACGTGTTGCTAGATTCTCTGAACGAGCTTACTGATCATCAAAAGAAAGCGCTGTGTCTGAGGAAAATGACGTGTTTGTTGCAAACACAGCCCCTCTACTGTGTTGCGAAGACCGAATCGGGTAAGTCGATATGTTATCAGTTTCGTCAGTTTATAATTACTAAAACACAGTTTGCACAAATATTTAGACATTCCTTCGTCCTCATTCACTTGCTCACAAACAATTTTCAACGTTGGAATAATAAATTTTCGAAACGTGTCAACGAATATAGACCTTCTGTTCTTGACTAACGGTGAATCAGCATGAAGCCTACACGCCGCTATTGTTTTAATCTGCGGAAGAGCTCTCTGTTCTTCACATTTATGATACAGCAACTCTCATTGGTGACGCCAGCTCCTTGGCGCGCCCAATCAAATGACTTAGTTTAGCTACAGTGAAATACAGCTTTTCCAAACACGATCACGCACGGGTTATGAATGGCCGGCTTTAGCGAAACTGTGCGATTCGGACGATGGCGACCCATGTGATCTATGCGCGTCACTGACAAAGCTGAAGAGCACGAACACAAATAATACAATGTTATTATTGTTCAGTTATGCCTATATTCGCTTTCCCTAACATGTGTGTCAAGATTGTTACTTTTTAGAATATCTTTAAAATATTGGCCGAACGTATCAAGTTCAGTCATGTACTTCCGGTATTGTTATTATTTTGAATTTTGTTTTATGTAGGTATCCTAGAAAGTCCAATAATGTTATACAGCGAAACAGCCATGATAGAAGGCAGGAGTAGTATATCTACCAGTGTATATATAGATGATACCATCGGCTTCAAAACAGAATTTTATTTCAACTACCTCGGAAATGATCCGGTGGAAGTGACGTTATCCAGCCCATCCGGCGAGACATTTAACAACGAATCAAAAACCTATGAATTGGACACTACATTCAGTGTTGTGCGAATCAAAATAAAAGATATAGCAGAGGTAAAACAACTAGCACCATGTATAAGAGAATAAATTATAAATGCAAATTATATAAAAGTTTGTATGTGTTTGCTTCACAATCATACATTGACATTGTACGAAGTCCTACATGTTGATATTGAATGACGATCATCGCTAATCTCTTGTATTCGAATATTGGAGACATCTTAGTCTGAAACAAGACTCATATATTAATATTATTGATAGGTTGGTGAGTGGACGGCATATATTTACAATCCATCCAGTGAACCACAGAATTTAAGTTCCATGGTACAGTCTAGAAATAGGAATGACAAATATCCAATACTCGCGACAGCTCAGTGGAGTAAACAAACAATTACACCTCCGGACAAACTGACACTTTACGTATCGGTCAGTAAAGGTAAAACAGTTTATTTATTTATTTATTTATTTATTTATTTATTTATTTATTTATTTATTTATTTATTTATTTATTTATTTATTTATTTATTTATTTATTTATTTATGTCGGAGTCATTTCTGAATCATTTATCTGTGAAGCATTGTAATTGAAACATGCATTATTTGTTAATTGCTTTATTTGATTGTTTTATACAAGTAAGAATACTGCATTCTGACTTATACATTGTTGCAAAATACGGATTCTGAAGTGAGACGACGACATGAATGCGAACGTGGTAGAAACCACCGCAGTGTGTTCTTAACCTAGTCGAAATTCTGTATCATTCTTACAATTTGTGTTGTATCGTTGATATCGAGTTGTAAGTCTCCGGATTGCCAGCGGGTTTTCCGTTAGTGAATAAATTGTGAGTTTTCATTAAGTCGTTCTTCTGTGGTGATTGGTGCTGATTGTGTAGCAGATAATTTTGCATACTATATTTCGTTACATTTCCATAACCGCAACGTATCGTCCCCCACAATTTATTTATTTATTTATTTATTTATTTATTTATTTATTTATTTATTTATTTATTTATTTATTTATTTATTTATTTATTTATTTATTAATAAATTATTTATTATTTATTAACCTAGTCGAATACTCTACCCTGTCTCATAGGCTACATACCAATTTTAAATGCAGTTGTCATAGCAACTGTAGAAAGACCGCGTGATGGAAGCGTAACTTTGAATATGTATGATAATGGGGCTGGTGCCGATATCGTGAAGGATGATGGGATATATTCTTCGTATTTCACCAATTTCAATGGCGTCAGTAGATACAGCGTTAAGGTGAGAAACAATTGTCATGTTCTTCTGTCCCTTTATATTTCAAACTGGGAAGGCTCATTCTTTTTCATACTTTATTCCAATGATGTCAACATATTATTCGGATTACCATTCTTTTTGAATAATTGGAGTAAAATGTGACTTTAACAATCTATGTCATCTCATCATTCGCGTTTGTGCGAAAATGATAACGTAATTGCATTGCATTATGGGTAACTACTGACATACTGAACTACTGGCATAAGTATGTGGCTCTATTCAGGTTCGAGTGAATAATGCAGGTGACGTCACAGTGACGAGTAAAAATAGAAAACTGGGAATTGGTGCTGTGGAAGACGATCTTACTTTAGATGTGATAAACATCGATGACGTAACAACCGGAGAGTTTCAAAGAGTTACAAATGGAGGAAGCTTTTCATGTGTTGGTGCTGCATGTGAAGGTAATACAAGTGTGGGTAATTAAGGGATACATGTATACGTGTACCCAACATGTATGAGCGCATATAGCAACCACTTTTAGATGACTGCTCCAGTGCAGATACGAAAGATAATGACATGTAGAACAATTTGGTAACACCAAGGCAAGGGCAAATTCATTTGCTATCTAGGATCAAACAAAAGAACCTTAAAGGTGGTGGTCGTCGTGCCACACATGCGCGAAATACGGGACTCGTATGAACAATGATGGCGACTTTGACTTGTGCAGAACAACGAGTACAAGCTGAGACGCTACTAAGCTTTAACTATGTAATTTCTTTGGTGATTGGCAGGTATCAATGGAGTCACCGGCGGTAATTAGTGCAAATGTTGCACATGCGCGGCGCAACGACCACCGCCTTTTAACCAGTATAATATGAATTTGGCTTTCCCAGTGAGCCTATGATATACTCACCTAGGGTGAAATGGATTTGGCATTCGCAGTAAGTCTATAGCCTACTTATCCAGGCCAGAGATAGACCCCAGGTAGAATTTGAAATAGGCCACAGCGATCACTGACGAGCGCAGTGCTTAGCCACCACGCTATGCCGACTGGTAAGTTCGGTGGTACTTTTGACTTGTGGCAACTCAGTGCTGATGTGATATCGGAAAGAGAATGTTAATTGTGTAGTCAGACAATTTCCGACAAGTTTAGCATTTTAATAAAGTTGAGGATTTTTGAGATTTTTTACATCTTTTTATTCGATATTGTAACTAGTAGGGTATAGTAAAATAAAATCATTGTATCGACAGCAAACGTGGCAGTATTCGTTCGATGATATTATCAAAATAGTTTCATTTTCGTGAATCCTGACAACGTTTTCATCTCATACACATTTGTTCCTATATTAGGATACAACATAAAACAAAATGATATACAAATCCAAAAATATTAATAATGACTGTTTAACAATTAAGTTGTTTGGGGGGATGTGCCGTGGTATTTAGGGTGTACACAACTCATGTTTCCCGTCTGTCTGACTGCTACATGTTACGATTGTCGACAGTTACAAATACTGCTTTATTGTTTCAGGAAATACTGACATATATTTCCCGGCTAAAATAATGGACCTGCGAGTGCAACATATATCCTACGACGACAAGCAAGTCACATTAACATTCACATCAACAGGAGATGACCTGGATCATGGACAGGGTAAGTTGTATGTATAGTGATATACAAAAATCTCGAAAAGGGATTTATCGCGAGATTTAGCGAGATATATATTGGTGACTGTGCGACATTACGGTGGGTATCGGGGCCATCCGTGCAGAGTTGCCTGAATTATTTTTTTGGAAATGTATCAGGGGGAATTCTCTTCCCTCTAGGGTTCTCCACACGTGTCAGGGGGGAATCTCGTCTCGTCTCTCTCTACCGCGTCCCCTTGAGGTGCGGGATCGGGAAAGTCACTTATACTTTACAGTCAAATAAGACACACACAACGAAACACGTTTCAACTCTCGTCTTAGTCGATCAGTCGAGCACTCTATAAGACACAGCGCCCTGGGGAAAAATCCCCAAGACTATCGCAAGGCTGACCCAAGACTCACCCAAGACTCTCCAGGACTGGACTCTCGACTGCGTCTGTCGTGCTGTACTCGCCAAGACCAACTCA